CCCCCCCCCCCCCGCGCCAAACCCCGACCCAAACTCATCCCCACCTACGTCAATTGCATCTCGTAAGCATAAAGTCAAAACTTTTGACTTTAAAGTCAATTATACTTACGAGGTGCAATTGACGTAAGTGGGGGGATGAGTTTGGGTCGAGACTTGGCGGGGGTAGAAATAATCAATTTCATGAACGGAGCTCCGTAGAGGGCAGTGGCTTTCGTGGCCACTGGAATCCAGTGGCCATGGAACCGGACCGATCATAATAATGTGTGAGAGATAAATAATATATGTATTTCACTAATCAAAATTAATGAAGTGACGCAAGATAGAAGAATCATATTCTTTGAATCATAACTAATGCAAGGAGAATAATAATAGAATCACTAATATATTTTTTAATTAACCTGTGGAAAAAAATAATATTTTTTAACCAACACGAGGGAAAAAAATCATATTAATGCAGGGAGTTGAATCAATTTTATTCGATAATCTAAACTAATGTGTGGAGAATCATATTTTTTTGCCTATCGATGGTGATTTTATAATGGCTATGTCACGATTAATGTAGGTGCTTCAATGGGTTGACGAATAGAGTGTTGGTGTTCGATTTTATTGCTCCAAAATATCAAGGAGCTTTAATTGTTGCACGTGATTTGCGTTGTAATCAACTCACCTTCTTTTTTTTGAGTATGTATGCCAACTCACTTTCCATCTCATCATTAGTTGCTTAAAAAGATGACACATCAACTCTGCCACATGTTGCGCTATAGCTCCGCCACATGTCTCATTCTTGCATAAAGGATTCAAACACACATTTCTTAAATTTTTACATCAATTTAATCGTTTTTTATTTTTAGCGTGTTCAAATTTTGAGTGAGTTTTATTTTTGAATCCTTTTATAGATCAAATATTTAAAAATAGTACGGAGTAGATGAACGTTAACGAATAATTCGATTTAGTAGCTAAACTTTAACGAATAATTTGATTTAGTACCTAAATTTCAAAATCTTTCACAAAAACACTTGAACTTTTACCTTAATAAGCCATTTACGAATTACTAGGTGATCAGCGGGTTAATTTGGGTCAAATTACAAAATTTGATTTTTATTCTTCTACATTGGCCTTCATTTTTTCCTTTTCTTCTTCTTGCAAACCCATTATTTATATTACCTTTTCTTTTTCAACCCATTCTCCTTTCTTTATCTTTTTTTTCTTCTTCCCTTCTTTTCTTCTATTTTTTTCCTTTTTTTTTCTTATTCACTTTTTTTTCCTTTTTTTCTTTTACTCCTTTTTTCTTTTGATCCTATTTTAAATATTTATTTATTTTTTAATTCATTTTTACTTTTTATCATTTCTTCCCCTTTTTTTAATTTTCTTCATTTTTCTTTTCTTCTTTATTTTCTCCTTTTTAAAATTTTTTTCACCTTCATAATCTTCTCTATTTGTCTTCTGCTAATACTTATGTTACTTTCTATTTAATCAATTTAATTAAACAAGAAAATCAAACCATATGTCTTAACTCTTTTTGTTTGTTGTATTTGAATTTTTTGATTGTTATTAATTTTTATTGTAAGCAATTAAACAAAACAAGAGAAAAAAAGTCATAAATAAATACATAAAAACAATAGAAACAAAAAAGATTAATTAATTATTATTATTTTATTTGTATTCTTCTCATTTTTGTTTGTTATTTTTTATGAAAAAGTAAAAATTGATCTAAACTTGTATCCATTCTGTTTTGTGCGTACGATTATCTCCTTTCATGTTTAATTATTCTTATTTCGGTTTGTTTTATATTATTAGGTAGTCCTACTTTATTTAAAATGTTAATTAAATAAAAAATTTAATATATGTCTTAGTTTTTAAAAATTTTATATTGTTTTTTCTTTCGTTTATGTATTTATTTAAGGCTTTTTTTGATCACTTGTTTTCTTTAATTTTTTTATAACAAAGATTAAAAATAGACAAAAAAAACGTTAACAAACTGAAAAATTCAAATAACAAACAAAAAAGAGTTAAGACGTATGGTTTGATTTTTTTGAACCAATGCACATCGATGAATATGCGTAAAAATAAAGAACGGTTCATTTGAAAACTAGTACCCCAAGTATGGGGTGTCGATGGGGTGTCATCATTTAAAAAAATAACATGTTTAAACTCTATTTTTTGTTATTAATTTATGATTAATTTATGTTTTAAGAATCTTCAAGGGTGAAGTTTAAGGCCTTGTTTGGACTCTAGCAGTTGGCAGTTAGCAGTTGGCTGTTTATGTTAGCTGGTTTGAATGGCTGATTGAGTTAGCTGTTTTGACCGACTGTTTCTGTTAGCAGTTAAATTTTAAGTGTTTGACAACTTTAGCTGTTTATAGTTAGTTGTTTGTAAGTAAAATTACATAAAAGGACATCCCTCCATTTATGGTATATTTTATTTTACAATTTTTTTTAAAAATATCATATCATAAATATATTTTTTTAAATTAAAAAAATTAAATTATATATATATATATAGACACACATGATATTTATTTTTCATTTTTTACATGTAAAAATTAAATCTTTACTATATGGAGTATTAAATTTTAATTTCATTTAATTCATAATAAATTATAAATATAAATTTTTTTAATGAATTATAAATATAATTTTTTTTAAATTTCATTTTATTTTTTTCGTATTTAATTTTTTTAACTTTTATTTTTATTTTTTTTACATATATTATATATAATCTTTCAACAAAAATGATTTTAAAAAAATTATTTTTCCTAACCGACAAGTCCAAATGCTACTCCCCTTGGCATTTCAGATTTTGGCTTTTCGGATCAAAATGCCAAGTGAAAAAGCCATTAGCCAAACAATGATTTTGGCGATTCGCTTGGTCAAAAAAGTCAAAGTCAGTCAAAAATGCTAAAAGCTATCCCAAATGCTGTTTTCCAAACCTGGCCTAAGTTTTTTTCTTTTGTTCTAAGAAAAATTATGTTTAAAAAAGCTTTATCCAAAATAGAGAAACTAGGGAGTAATTACAAAAACTAGAATCCACAAAAAAAACACAGTTTCCACCCCAAACTTATTTTTTTCTCCATCAAAGCCACACAACTTGATTACCACAAATCGTGATACCAAAATACTCTAAAATTTAAAGGGTAGAATATATGGTTTGACCAAAGACCAAAGAATGAGACAAAAGACTTTCGTCTCATTGGCTAAAGCAAACGCTAAAAAGTCTAAACACATTAACATGAGATACATAAACCTCAGCTCGTTTATTTAGTGCGACTCAACAGTCATAAAAAGACTTTACTTTTAAAAGGCCAAACGTTCCCATCTTCAAAGACCCTCCGTGTAAGCCACGCCGGTGTTCTTCAACCACGATCCGCCCTGGATCAGCTGCGCCACCGTGAACTTCATCGCCACGCTGGCATCGGTGATGACGTGGTACCCCTTCCACGTCACTCTCTGGCTAGTCCCCGCCCCCGGTCCCCTGTTCATGTACTCCCCATAGTACAGAGTGCTCAAAGCGAAGTCCCCACTCCATGGAGCCCAACCCTTAGGGTCAATATGGTCCCCGATATTGGACTGCATAAACACAGTCCTCGAGTACCCCTTCCACGGGCGTCCCAAGAATGTCTTGAAACTGCCCTTAACAGGGGCGAGGTCCGAGCTGGCCTTGACCTCGCAGTTCTGGATCGATGTCCCCGTGTTCTGGTTCGGGTCGGTGCGTCCTTGGGCGGTCAGCATGTTCTGTTGGTTGGGGGACGGCTTACGGGCTATGATTTTGGAGTTCTGGATCACCACCGCGGCGTTGCCGAAGATGAAGTCCACGGTGCCGGAGATGTGGCAGTCCCGGTAGAACTGACGGAGTTGGTGGGCGTATAGGGTGTCTTGGTACGCCTCTATTTTGCACCGGTTTATGACCGATAGATCCGCTCCCACCCGTAGCGCCACCGCCTGGTGCTTCTCTGGTCCGGCGGTGTTCCGGAAGCAGAGATCTTGTGCTATGAACCCGTCCCCAACAGCGGCTGAAAAATTTATAAAAAAAGATCAATCGGATTGTACGGTGTTTAATTGAAATATTCAAAGGAAATGGTGGAGTGGTTTACCGACTGTAGCAGAGTTGAAGGTTGTTGAACCGTCGACGACATTCAAGCTGCCGGTGATGATGGTGGCGTCCATTCCATCTCCGACCAGCATTATGTTCTTCTTTTTGATCTGCACATTTTCTTTGTAAGTTCCCTTCTTCACGCGAATCACGTACCTTTTTGTGCTCTTGTCCGGCGCCGCCGCCACCGCTTCGTTCACCGTCTTGTAATTCCCGCTCCCGTCCGCCGCCACCACCACGTCGGCATCAACATTCTTCCCGGAAACTTCCAGGAGCCGCCTGTCACTAGGACTGACCCACGACGGGAACTCGCCGTCGAGTTCCCGGAGATCGTCCGCCTCCGACGGCGCGACTGCAACTAGCACCGCCAGTGAAGACCTCGCACGGGAGATCAAATCTTCTAGTACGGGCTCCATCATGGACCGGACCGGGCCGGAAAGCCCATCCAAACAAGTATCGTGGTTCGTGAGGACGCTGCTGATCCAGGTATGTGCATCGAATCGGGCCCGGGCCGAGAGGTTTCCCAAAGCCACCATAGAGTCCATGACCCGATCCAGCGACGAGTCCATCAGCTCAATACAGTCCTCAACCGCGGATCCCGCGTGCCGGCCGTTGACCCGGCGGCTGACGTCGGTGGAGAACCGGACGGCGTCACGAATTCGCCGCGAAGAGGAGTGTAGGACCAACTGCAGCAAACGTACGGCGTCGGTTTGGGTGGAGCCGGGGGGCGAGACCTCGGAAAGAACGGAGGAGCAGGCACGCGGGTCATGGGCCTGGTTGCAGAGACGGGCTTCCAAGGTTGGGGACGAGTGGGTCCGGACAACCCAGACGGAAACCACGGCAACCGAGCCCACGAGGGCAGCTAGGCATAAAACAATGTAGATGGCTTTTGAAGAAGAAGAAGAAGAAGAAGAAGATGGTTTGGCATTGGGACTAGAGAGGAGTGGTTGATGGGAGGTTGCCATGGCTTTGGCTTGAAATTGTGTTATTGCAGTGAAGTCTACACTGATAGAGATCCTTTTTATATAGGCAGATTTTCATAGTCCGTTCTAAGTAACTATTGGATTTGAGAGGAGAAAAAAAAGAGTGTATTAAGTTCCTAGCTCAACTTACAACAAAAAACAACAAACATTATGTACCTCAAAAAATTGCACTGACATTTTAAAAGTTCACTCTGATATAAAATATTTGTTTAATCAAAAAAATCTGTACTGACATTTAGTGTCAGTGTAAACTATCACACCGAGTATAAATAAAAATCTTGTTTGTAAATCCAATCAATAGCTTAGAGATTTTGTCTGACTTTGTGTTTCTTCTTTTTTGCCGATGCCTTTCTTATATCCGCTTCTCCTCTGCTCTTCATCCTCCTTTCTCCTTTTTTACCACTGAGTTTCTTCTTCATCTTTTCCTACGCTGGCTCATCAGATCCAATTTAGTTTCTTTTATGGGATCCAATGCTCTATTCCGTATAAGGTAGATGCTAACAAAGGCAAAGGAGGTTTAACTGAGAGTATCAGACGAAAACCTATTGGCGACCACGAATAAAATTACTCAACGGAGGAAAGAAGAAGAAGAAGAGAGGCAGTGGCGGTGAATCTAGATGGCGACGATGATAGCGGCGACAGTGTGGAGCTAAGCCGGCAAACGAAAGAAAGAAGAAGAATAAAAAAAGAAGATTAAAGGGTAGCGGTGGCCAGTCTAGGGTTCGTGGGGCGAGAAAAGAAAAAGAAAAGAAAAAGAAAAAGGAAAAGGGAAAAAGGTAATGAAAAAACGTTCAAAGATAAAAGAAAAGAAAAGGAAAAGCTGTTTATGTATACATAGTTATAATTTATAAATAATTCTTTCTAGAAAAAAATAAAATTTACTTAACTCTATGCAGACTTATAATACGGAGTAATTAATTGATTTTACAGAATTTATTAATTTCAAAAAATCTATCAAAATCTATTGAAATTTGGATTGAATACACTCATAAAAACAACTCTAAAATACTCCGTGAGATTCATGAACATGCCAATTGTTTATTGTGTGTGTAAGCTTTAAGAAAGAATTTTAATAGCGAATATTCGTGTTTATGTAAGTGAGGTACAGATTTGAGGCAATCGATTCAACCTACATCATTTTTTTAAATTAAAACCTACATCATTTGTGTTATCCCTTAGCTTACTCCATATCTTTTAAAGATCATGTTGTGTTTGGACTAATTTTAAATATTCTAAAAGGAATCGATTGCGCATTTGATAAGATAAGAAATGTTGAAGTTTACACTCGAATTTGATTTTTGACAAATAAGTTGGTTATGCTAAATATATAACCTCTGTAGATATCAAGTTTAGACTTCACCTTTTGTGAATCAATCTATGATTAAAACTTAATTTACTTTTCATGAGATGACTGTCAAGCTTGTTCATTCTTTCTTTATTTTCTTATAACAAAATAAATATTCTGATCCTCCGTCTCAAAATATTTCACTTTACGCAAAATGAAGTGAAATCTCATGTTTTTCATTTCATTTTATTTAAGGATTTGTATAGAAATTAAAAATAGAACTTACATAGTTAAAAATTACATCAAAAGTTCTATAAAATAAAAGGTAAAAATGACATTTTATTTTATTAAATAAATAATAAAAATACATAAAGAAATAAAAATTTCTATAAATTTTTAAATAGTATAGAATTCTTTCTCCAAAAGTTCTTTTTAAAAAAGATGAGCCTCCATCCCAGATGGCCCGTTCAGACCCGGTCAAACCGTTATAGAAAAGAGATGAATTAGACTTTGATCGTAGATTGAAGTCAAAAAGTGAAGCATGTACATGAAACTGGCAGAAGCCTTATATTTAATATATTTGCCTCCCAACGTAGTTATCAAAAATCAAATTTAATTTTTACTCCCTCCGTCCCCCTGTATTTGTCCACATTTGACTTTTGGAACTGTTCATCTAAGCACTTTGACTCATCAAATTCTCTTAATGTGTAAGCCTAAATATAGTCATGTGTGATCTTGTTTGATTTGTTTTAACATATAGATTATTAATATATAATTTTTATAATTTTTTAATATATAAATTACAAGATAAAACGGATTAAAGAAGTGCATTGGATGGTGTGTAAAAATGAAAGTGGACAAATACAAGGGGACGACGGAGGTAGTATCTATTTGACAATTCTTATCTTTATTAACTGCGCAATTCTTCTCCAGAAGTTTTTAAAGTGGTGGTCTGGTGGAGACAACACATGCGCCCAAGCAATAGTAGTAGTTGATCATTATTCAACCTCACACATCATCATAATTTATATTCTCGTACCGTGAGTGACGGGTCACTGTTCAAGAGTCTATATCAAAATAATAGTTTTATGTTTTTATTTTAAAAATAGATGTACGTATGATGATGTATATTGTATATGGGTATTCATTATACTTTTTAGTTTTTAATTTTTATGAGCGTATACAATCATGATTGACACTGTAGAAATATTTTAACTTCTACTTTGGAGGATAAAAAATTACTCCGTAATATTTTTTTTTAATATTTTACTCTTACTTTAATTTTTTTCCCACCTGACAAATTTTAGTCTTTATTATTCATTTAAAATCATAGCTTTATTTTCGAGTAATGCTACATTCACAAACAGGATACTCACAAACTTCACAAACTTACTATTTATAGTTTAACTTTTCATTTTAAAATTATTGTAGACTATTTAATTTTATTTTTTAAAGTTCAAAATTAGTAAGTTTGTGAAGTTTGTGAACATTTTGTTTGTGAACCAAGCATTATTCTTTATTTTCCTTCTGTCATATGTACTGTGCGAGGCATGAGGAAACCTCGGGATGGGACATCATTTTTTTAATATACTCGTACAGTGGTACTTGTCTGTTTCCCGTATTTACTTTTGAATTGGTACTGAAATACTATGATAAATTAATTCGAAATGTCACTGGGTTTCTGTCTGTACATAGGACCCCCCATGCCAATTTAACTGCATCCCTCCCTAAAAATGTACTCCCTCTGTCCCAATTTATTTACAACACTTCGAACGACGTGTAAAATATCATCTCTTTTAAAATTACTTTAATTTCAAATTGGTAGAGTAATAAAAAATAAAAATTACACCATTCAAAAGTATATGAAAAGCTCTACAAAATAAGATGCGACAAGAATATTTTATTTTATCAAATGGTAAACCAAAACGAGATAATATTTAATAAAAAGTTAAGTATAACTTTAAATAATTAAACAATATAGAAGTTTTATATATTAAAATTATATTTTAAAATATTCCAATTTTACTAAATCTAGTTTATAAGTAAATATTCCTTTTTTACAGTTTTTAGTCAAAGTTTAACAAAATTTGATATAAGAAAGTCAAGTATTAATGATCTTTTTGAAAGAGATCGATGTAGTATGTTGGTGGGAAAAAGGGAGGAGGTTTCCCACTTGAGGGATGTAATCCCAATATTTAAATTTTTATTCCTTCGTGAAATTTAACAAAATTATTAAAAAGTAAATTGTTAAAATTTATTAATAAGAAAATAATTTTTTTTAGAATACAGCTATTTTTTTACTTCATTAAAATAAATAAAAAAAGTGACAATTTTTTTGGAAAAAAGTATCGAAAAGTACTCCCTCCGCCCCAAATTATTTGCCACATTTGCTTTTTCAACAGTCGCGGGAAGTTTTGTTTATTCTACGTTTTCATTGGTTATTTGATAAAATAAAATATTCTTGACACCTCTTATTTCGAAGAACTTTTCATGTAGTTTTTTGATATGTAATTTTTATTTTTTATTTCTTTACCAGTATGTAAATAAAATGAATTGAAAAAACTTGATATTTTGTCTCGGTAATAGAAATGTGACAAATAATTTGGGACGAATGGAGTAATTAAAAAAAAGTGAGCGTATTAATTGAGGGATTAATATATTTACTTCGTACGGAAAGAGTTATTGTTGCAGTTGTTGCCCACTTGCTTGTACGAAATTATTCGATGGACAGTAGAGGACGGAGACATATCGATTTCACCTTTAATTTGGACATTGGTACACAATAGGTAGGGACATAAAAGTCACTCAAAAAATGATGGAGACACGTTTTTAGCATGGAATTTGCTTGTCCACTTGAATTACACCAAATGTACAATAAGACAAAAAAAGACACTCACGTACATTGAATATCTATGCCCGCACAGACATCAAATGTACGTGTGCCTATTTTTGTCTTGGTACTACTTGAAAAAATTACGCGATATTACTGATGGCCATTTCGGATTAGTTTTAGTTTTTAAAAAAAGTTAAAAGCAATGTAGTTTTAACATTTTCAAAATATTTGATATCATGACGAAATAGTCGAAATTGTGGAGTATATGTTAATACTCCGTAAAAAAATTTTAGTCACAAACAAAGCCATAATAGAGTAAATGTTGTATAGAGTATAAGAAATTTTTTAGGGTCATAATAACAAGTTTGAATTTTTAGTTGAGTTGGTTCCTTAACATGGTACTAGAGTCTAGTTGACCAAAATGTCATGAGTTCGAACATCACTGCAACCCATTTTAAAAAGATATGAAATTTGACTCGAAGTGATCCCGTCTACATGTGAGGAAACGTGTTAGAATATAAAAGTCTTTTTCAAGTCACAAGTACTTACAACTAGCCTGAGTTCTTGAATTGGTCTCAAACAAAGCCAAAATCAAATTTTATACTAAGAACTTGTAGGTTCAATTTTTTTTGAAATATACTCCGTATTATTTATTTGTTTTCTACTAGCAAAAAAAACTATTTGGTTGCTAAATAGAATTTATCAACCCATTTTTTAGCAAACACATTGGAGATGTTCTCAGAATTTACTTGCCAAACTAAGTTTTTATCTCAAATAAACTCAGGGCGCGTTTGATTATGGATTATAGATATGACCCCCTTTCGTGGTGCTTTGGTTAAAGCTAAACACGATTCAAATTCAATATCTCCCGAAATTATAGCACTCTCAAATGTTGAGGATAGTTGCTATATATGAATAGAAAGATAGAAGGAAACACTTCAAACAACTTCCTTCGTTCATAAATTTTTTAATTGATTTTTTATGATCTCTAATGTATAATTTTGTTCACTAATATATATATATATATATATATATATATATATATATATATATATATATATATATATATATATATATATATAAAATACTCC